AATGTACACTAAGCTACTGGCTTGGATTCATATCACTAGCCTCAAATATCAAAGTTACATTGGAATTAGCCCTTTTTAGCCTTCTCATTATGAGTGCTCAGTATACTATAGTGAACATAGTTTTAAATGTCCATGATCCCCTCATTTGGGGATCTATTCTTCTGTCACTTGATGTAGTTCTCTAGAATTCTTTATCAGGGTGCTAGCACTTACCATGACCAGGTACAGGGGTGGTCACATGACCCAGGCCACCCAATCAGAATAGCTGTCTCTCTGCTTCAGTAATTGATTTAGGGTGGACATGTGGCCCAAGCTGGGCTAATTAGAGCCTTCCTGAGAGCACCTTGATTTACACCAGAGCTGGTGGAGAGGAAGTTCTTTTTTTCTCTGTGGGTGGAGGAGAAGGAGGTGGGAAATGTGGGGAGTTGTGGGAGTGACCACCTTGCCAGGAGAATGTTAATTTGGAACCAGGGACTCCCATCTTTCCCAGCTGCTGGAAAGAAACCTTTCTGCCTTGGGGAGTCCTGGGTTCTAGACAGGATTCTTCTACTTTCTAGCTGGGTAAACATGGGCAGGCCACCTAACTTGTCTGAAATTCAGTGCCCTTAACTGTAAGTGGGGCTGATGTCTAATTTTTAAGGTATTGTTTTGGTTCACTAACATTTACTGAAGATTTGCCGTTTGCCAGAAATGTTACACATACCCTCACCAAAAGCTGGTGACATAGCATTGACCTCTAGGGACATCAGGCAGTGAAGCCTGGCATGGCAACACTGTCAGGTTTGACTCTAAGTTCTGATAGATGGTGATTTATTTTCTGGGAGCCTCCATGGCCAAGCTTCCCAGCTCCTCAGGAAAGCCTGCCACACCAACCCCTCTTGGTTTCCCATTCTTGAAAGGGAGAGACAAACCTCTCCTCCCGCTCATGCCAATGTAGTGGTCACCTTAACTCATGACCAAATAGACGATGATTGGACCTTGGGGACTAGCCCCAAAACCATTATTCCAATATGGTCCATCTATATGTTCCACCTGCCCAAAATGGACCAAGTGAAATGGTTAAGTTCATTTTGGGAAGATTTCTCATGGTCATTCTCCAGTAGTCCCTTTGCTTTCAGTACAAAATCCAGAAGCCTTGAAGGGACATTTTTGGATTTCTATAAGCCAGTCTTCCTAAACTTAGTCTCTTCTCTTGATACATGCAATAGTTAACTGGACCATTCCATTGACCTACCTTGTACTTTTTCACTGGTGTGCTTAAATATAGATACTTCTCCTAGACAGCTCCTCTGACCTGCTCATAGTTTTCATCAATAATGCCACTGTACATTTCACCCAAATAAGCTCTCAGTTCCAAGCAGGCTCTACAAATTGCTGTTTTCACAGGAGATAAAACTTATTGTTATCACAACATTAAACTATAAGATGGCAGAGGCTATAAATTCTTATTTTTCCTACTTGGACATTAACAATACTGTGTATAAAATGTGCTAGGTATTGGGTCACTGTTTGTTGAATGAATGAAAAAAATTGTTTCGAAAGCATTCATCGTCTGGCTTCCAGCCTGGAAATTATGGGTCATGGTTTCAATCTGGTTACATATACACTGTTACATTTGTTCTTCATAACAATTCTAGGAAATTACAATATGACCATCCCCATTTTAGTAAAGGAAAACTCAAATGCCAACCAATTTGCCCAAATTTAATCCCTGATTTGCAAGATTCCAAGGCTGATGCACTGCACATGTGTGAGTACATATGCCTGTGTTATGTTGAGGTTCCAGTTGCTCCTGTCTGAGTCACTCCTTTGTTTGGGTGTTTGGGTGCCAATCTGAATAACTCATGGGGCATATTTCCCAGCATCTTTGCTTGGCTGCTAATTAGAGCGCTGCTAATTTTGCTCATGTCAGAGAATTCAAAAACACTTATGCTTCACACAGTCCAGGCTGCTCTAACAAAGTATTATCAACTCAGTGGCTTACCAATAACAGAAACTTATATCTTATAGTCTAAACTTTAGCCCAAGACCAGGATGCCAGCATGGTCAAATGTGATATGCAAATTGACCGTCACACCAATATACAAGATGGTTGCCCCCATGTGGACACAAGATGGCCACTACAAGATGGCCTGCAGGGGAGGGAAGTTGTGGGAAGTTAGGGGTGACCAGGCCAGCAGAGGAGGGCAGTTGGGGGAGACCAGGCCAGCAAGTAGAGCAGTTGTTGGGGACCCAAGCCTGCAGGGGAGGGCAGTTGGGAGCCAGCAGTCCTGTATTGTGAGAGGGATGTCCAACTGACCGTTTAGGCCCGATATGAGATCCCTTAAGGGGTCCCATATTGGAGAGGGTGCAGGCTGGGCTGAGGGACACTCCCTGATGCATGAATTTTGTGCACTGGGCCTCTAGTAGTTTGTGAAAAGCCTTAAGAGTATCCACCCTATAATTTCAGAATAAAGGGTTAATTCCCTGGAAGAGTTATAGGAGTTATCTCCTTGAAGCTGTTAGATATCATCTGATGGTCTGAAAGCACTGTCTGGCCACAGCAATGTGTGTGGGTCACCCAAGGGGAAGGTCAAGATTTCCAAGGAATCAACATGCTTGCTGGGAGTAGCCCTCAATCAATGATGCATGAGAATTGATGATAAATATGACAACTCCTCACCTTTCAAGTGGTACAGCTGTGGGGCATGTCTATGATCTTCCACAGTGATAACCTGCTCAGCAACAAACCCTGAAGTGCCTTCTTCCCTTCACCTCCCAACACTGCTGACATCCAAATCCTTGTTTCAGTGTCTGATCCTGGAGGATCCAAACTAGTACAAGGTGCTTGATATCTAACTTCAGACCGCCTGTAGGCCCTTCTCATAGCCCTCTTTCCATGAAACCCTGTATTTACCCCTACTAATTGCCTCCGCACCCCAAGCTTCCTCCTCACACCATTGTACATACTCCTTTTCCATCCAACCCAATATATCAGTTTGGCATTCAGATCTCCAAACCTGGGACTCACTTCCCATAATGCATGTCTCCTCCCCTCAAACCTCACATACGTGTATTTCAGCTACACTTTTCTACTCTCCCTTCTTCCAATATATCCTTCAAAAGTTCTCACCTCTTTACTACTACACAAATGTTTTCCCATGCCTTAAATGGCTTTAGAAAAGTTTACCTCCATTACTACCATAACCTCATCCACACTGCTGAAAGTAACTTGTTTCCAACTGCTGGACCTCTTCCCTATTCTCAGGTTGTAAGAGATGTGGGCTTTAGTTTAGGCTCCAGTGTTTGCTGCTGGCCTGTGTTTAAATGTGACAGTGCACCAGCATTGGCTCTGAGAGGCCATGAGATTTACATGGAGCACAAGAGCATTAAGTGAGAATGTTGGACAAAATCCTGTGTGCAGGGACTTTGTAAGCATTTCACTGACACTATGACTAACTCTTCTGCTTTGTAAACTGAGGTGTATACATGCGGCGCTTTATTGACATGGGACTAGCTCTGTTTTCTTTTGGTTTCCTGCTGAGAAATATGGTAAACAAGGCAAAGCCTCCCTAATCACAATTCCTCTTTTGTGAAGTCTTAGACTTTGGAGATTTACTTTTGTGTATTTCATTGATGGCCTTTAGGATATTGGATCAAGAAAATAAAAATGGTGGAGACATGTGAGTTTTAAAATCAGCACTTCACTCAAACACTTGGAGGGAAGGCCAGGGAAAAGAAGTGCTTCTTGATAGGCATATTATTTGCTATTCGATACAAAGCAAAACGAATTGACAGACATATTCTTAAAGTCAGAGGAAACAGAATCCCTGAAGTATTTCTAGTGACCGAAGGATGTTAATTTGAAATGCATTATATTTTAGCCTTATTAAGACAAGAAAGCATGGTAGGGCATTAAAGAGCATGAATTCTAGCATGGCTAAAAAATCCTGGCTCCATCACTTACCCCGTGTTTCCCCGAAAATAAGACCTAGGGCATGGAAAGATAAGACATCCTCTGAAAATAAGACATAGTGCAACTTTGGGAGAAAAAATTAATATAAGACACTGTCTTATTTTCGGGGAAACAGGGTACTTGCTGTCTGATCTTAGGAAAAGACAAAACCTCTCTTATGCTCCAGGCTTATCACCTATAAAATGGGCATGATAAACCTTACTTCTCAGGACTGTGGAGAAGATAAGTGCGTTAACGCATATGTATATAAACTCTTCCCCCATCCCCAAATATTTTCATTGATTTCAGAGAGGAAGGGAAAGGGAGAGAGAGGTAGAAACATCAAGGATGAGAGAGAATCATTGATCAGCTGCCTCCTGCATGCCTTACTCTGGGGATAGAGCCCACAACCTGGGCATGTGACCTTCTGGTTCATAGGTTGATACTTAACCACTGAGCAATGCCAGCTGGGTTGTATGTAGCTCTTTTAACGGCATATAGTAGGTGCATTATAAATGCCATTCTAATTATTATTATCTTATCTAATAAAAGGCAAATTGACATAACAGCAGAATGACAGTGCTATGACACTCATTACCAGGGGAGAGACACTCAATGCAGGAGCTGCTCCCTGGTGGTCAGTGCTCTCCCCCAGGGGAGTGCTGCTCAGCCAGAAGCTGGGCTCATGAGTGTCAAGCACAGCGGTGGTGGTAGGAGCCGCTCCCACCTTTGTGGCAGCGCTAAGGATGTCTGATTGCTGGCTTAGGCCTGCTCCCTGCCATTAGTTGGACATCCCCCAAGGGTTCCTGGACTGTAAGAGGGCGCAGGAATTTCATGCACCTGGCCTCTAGTTATATGTGAAGTCTCTAGTAGTTTTTTTTAAATTTAGTTTTATTTTCTTATTTGAGGAAATCTGAATGTCTTTTTAAAAAGGCTTGTCTCATCTCTACCCTATATTTTCTATGTTGTCTCTAGTTCCCCATCCTCTTTTAACCACCAGTTCCTTATATTTCAATGTGTGCTTTTCCATCAACTATTGATGTGGAGTAATTGATGCCAGGCAGGGTTATGCTATGCTGAATACTTTATTTATATTTTTGTGTAAACATAATTTGCTTTGTAGGCACAATATAACAAAAGCTCTAAAGCCACAAACACATTAGACAATGTTGCAGTTCTCTCCAATCAAGCTTAGATTACAGAGAAGCTTTCACAGTTCCTTTAAGGCAAACTGAGGCCTTCTTAAACCTCCTTCAGAAAACCATCACATGACAGGAAAGAAGGTGCTTGGGATGAGAGTGCATTACACAGATCGTTTTGATTCTCTTGTTTTCCTGTTCTTCATGGCACTTAATTAATCATATTGGACAAATTCTAGCTTTCTCATTCTGTATTCTGGGGGGACAGAAGGGTTTTCTTGAACCAACTGGCTTGTTTGTGATTATTCTATTAATCTTGCTAGTTGAGAAAACAGATTTGGGGAGGAATTACTTTTAGGCTTCTCCTCTGGTTGTAACAAGAATGTGGGGTCCCTCTCACCTGGCCAAGGAGAGCCCTGATAAGGCCAGTGGCTCTTTGCTCCCCCAGCTCTAGAAAATGCCATTTCTGTTCAGCTTACCAGGAATGTCACTTGGGTAGCTGGACAAAATGAGAGAAATGGTCTTCTTAAGACACCATTGTCAGCTTGGTTGTGGGGGAAAGAATGATCAATAATAATACATTTGGCAAAGGTATTGGGATAACACTTCAGCATCATCTTTCAGAACTGGGATGCTGGGGAGTCCTGGGGTGCAGGGAGAAGAGGATGTTGTGTCCTCTTTGAGACACTCTCATCTCTGCACATGAGATGGCAGCACCCTTTCTTGTCTTCATATTTCACACGGACATTCACAACGAGAGACCCTCCCTTCAAATAAATATTTGACATAAATAAGTCATCATCACAAGCTTAGGGTGAGAAAAAAAAAAAAAGAACATGATTAAGGAGGTGACATTTGTTACAAAAGGACTGAAAATGAAATAGGTAATGGTAATCGGTAATTATATTGAATAGGTAATTAAATAGGTAATTGCTGAAATGCATTTTTCATCACATTGAGGAAGAGTTGGTCTACCTTTAGGGCTCGTTGGTGGAGAGATGGGGAAATGTAGGACCCACGCTCCCCCTCCCCCCCAATATCTTTCAGAATGTAAAGTGAGCTGTGGTGCTAACCCTGTGGGCTTCTTGTGTTCCCAGCTTGGTTTAGGAGGGATGGAGTCACCTTTTTGGGAGGAGGGAATGAGAAGCACCCTGGTGGAGACATTGAGCCTCTTTCTCTTCCTGCAGGTGAACTGTTCACCTCAGCCATGCCAAGTTGGGTGGGGCAAAGGGCAGGGTTTCTTAGAAGTTTAGGAGCTGGAAAATTGAACAAAGGTGTGTAATCAAGGAGTTTGGTCCCCAATTTGGCCATTGCAGGGTCCCTGCAAAGAATCTGCACCATAATTTTATATTTTAGAGGAGAGGAGCCACATATTTGGCATCTGAAACTGAATTCTTATACTACTAGAATTTGTTACATGTTGGAACTTGCTTTGGCAAGTAAAAGGATACTCACTGATTTTTTTTTTTTTTTTTTTAAATAATGGTCTACCAAAGAGGTCTTCCTTGGGGGATCCATGGTAAATGTGGCTGTTCACTTCTAGGAAATAAATGTAGCAAAATTGGTAATACCAAAAGCAAGTGTGCAAACACAGGTGATTCTCAGTAATGATTTCCAATATAGACCCACATGTGGTAAGTTTTCTTTAAACTAAAATACAATCTATGTAGTGGAAGAGGAGGGGATTTTGCTCATGAGATGTGGTTTCAGAGAGAAATCTCTGTGGCTGGTCTTCAAATACATGCTGTTGACCCATCTTTTATCCTGAAAACTTCATCTCAGTTTCCCTGTGCTTATGGATAAGAACCAGGGAAGGGATTGAGCATCAGAAGGTGAGAGAACAAGAGTTCAACCTTCTGACAGTGAAGCAGTTGAAGGAAGTTGGGGGAAAGGGAAAATACTATTTGGAGAGATCATAAATTTATGGGCTCATGAAATCATCTGGCCTATTCTCATTCTGCCAGCCAAATTGGCAAGTGCTCTCAGCAGCGGCCTGGGTGGTTGGCAGTGAAAAGTGTCATTGGCCTGAAGAATTCTAGGATCTGGATAATGCTCTTTGATGATACCTTTCAATCCAAAGTTGTCTTTGCCCATGTCTAGTCTCCTAGGCATGGGGCCTGTGGACTTGTATTAATCAGACTGTTCTAAAACCATCGAGAAGGAGTCAAAGATGGTTGGTTTTGAAACAGGGAAGATAGGAGAGTGTAATACAGACCAGGAGGGACATAACACTGCATGGAATGGGGTTGGCACTTAATTTCAAAAAAACAACAGTGATCAAAGCTTTTTAGCTCAGCTGACTGCAGACAAACACGACACGCACTGGACTACAGCATTTGTTCACTGGGGCACAGAAGAGCTTTCTTCAGTGGCTCCTCTTCTTTCAAACCATCCTTCGTTCTGGCCGGGTCCTGGGTTACTGGATAAAGGGCATCCGCTCCTTGTTCTCACCGTCCCCCTCATGGTCCTCCTCCTCTTCTCCGGCCTCGCTGGTCTCCGTGCTGTCATTGGCCATCTGTAATTCAACAGTAGACTTGTGAGAGGGATCTGCAACCTAACCCCCACCTTTTCCAAGCATCTGATGAAGCCACGTGGAAGGACTTGTTTAAAGGCCAAGAGCTAGGAGACCCTGCACCGCTTGCTTCCCCAGGAAGGCAGTGTGATATTAGCTGCCTTGTGTTGGGCACCCCAAGAAGCCATCTCTGAGCTAAGGATTTGAGTGCATGTATTTGGAATCTGGGAGATGATTCCTTTGAGCCTACTCTTCCATCCAGTTGGGCTGTAGCCTCCATCCACTCTAGAGATGCTCCAGATACAGATCTGAGTTGACCTATTCTCCATCATCTCTGTTTCCTTAAGTCCCACGGTAAAAGTCATCCTGAGATCCAGGAACAAGGGCAATGATATATGAGCAAAGGCAGGGTTTCAGTTCTCACATTAAATGGTCTGCCTTTCAGATTCTGCTCTGATAAGACACCCCCCAAACCCCACCATACACACACCTTTGGCATCAAACAGGCCTTCCCGCCAGCCCTGGAGCCCAGCAGGACCTCACCGGTAAGGAGAGGGGTGGGAAGCCAGTGCCAGCGATTTGGCTTGAAAGAACCAAGCAGACCAGGATGCCTCTACCTGTCTGCATTATACTGATGGGGCTGGAACAGACTAGGTTACATGTTTAAAGAACATAGCACAGGTGACAGAAGACCCAGATACAAGCCATCTTATCCTTCTTAACCTGCTCCCTCATCTGCTTAAAACACTTGTTGGCACAGACCTGGAACTTAGTAAGCATTTAATAAGCTATATTCATATTGTCATCAGTGACTTACAGGTTGTAAAGTGCCCTCTCATTTAACAGTCCTTCATTGAGAAAAATGGCCATCATACCTAAACTACATTATGGTCATGAAAGCCCAGTAAACACTTTTAAAAAATACATGCCTTCCAGTAAAACATGCAAGACATTTTAGGTCTTACTCTTTCATAAATGACTGAAGTAGCTCCAAGATTAAACATGTGAGAAAACAGAAACCCTTCCTAAGTATTTTCTTTGTCAAACCTTTCCTAGAATTTAGTGTGTCTGAGACAGTTTTAGCATATCATTCTAATTGAGAATTTATCAATTTCCAATTTACAGACGGGGACTGTAAATTGCAGCAAAGTAATTGTGGCAAAGTAATTGCCCAGGTCACACACAGGAGCTCAGAGCTGAACTTTCAATCATGCCGTCTGGTGAAAGCTGCTGTGTTGATTGTCACACTAGTAACAAGCTCTAACTCCCACCTCAAGTGGCCATTGAAGAGTGTATGGGATGTGATTGACATGCTTCATTCCTGGTGAGATCCCTGGATATAAGGGTTTTATCTTGATCAGAGAAAACCAAAGCAATGCAATCATCAGAAGCCATCTCAGAGGCGGTTGGCATCAATCAGTCGAGTATGTGCGTGTGAATTTATTAGATTTTTTTTTTTTGCCAGGAATTCCTCCTGTTCGTGACAGCCAACAGATGGCATTTGTCATAGACACAGGTCATTGTTTCTATCCTTTCCTGACTGGCCTCGGATTGCTCTTGGAATGCTCTCACTGAAGAATTTTCCGTTCCTTCTCAGCATTTATCTCAGTTTGTGGCATCCCTTATTTGCATCATCCTTTGATTATCGCTGGTCACCTCCGCCAGTCCCGGACCTGCTGTATTTCCCCCTGCCCCATCTGTGCCTGTACCTGATCACACCTCTTGTGTTGAACTGAAGGTTCCCTCTGCTTTTGACTCACCAGTGGAGTCGGGGTCTTCTCTACATCCAGAATTAATTTGCCAATGTTCCCTCGGTCGTGGATCCGCTGCATGGCCTCCTTCACCTGAGCGGAAGAAAAACAGAAGCGCAGGTTAAGTGAGAAGACTCCCGAGGGCAGAGGGCCTGGAAAGCCAAGTCACCACGTTCCCACCAGGGGGCGCTGTGGTTCAAGTTTATCAGCAAAACCTGAAATTGGTTTGGATGTTGGGTGCAAATAAATTCTGGTTGTGTCACTCGTGCACTCTGATCTGTACAAGCAACTTGGTCTCCTGGGTCTAAAATATGAGGGTAATTGCTCTTAAAATAAGTAAATTAAAATTTCCTTTTAAAAAAGGACCATGTGTGAAGGGGGTGGAGAGATTACTGTGGAGTTCTAAGAGTTATGTTCTGCAGAGTGGCAGGGTACTTTAGCCGGAGTAAATTTTGATCAATAAAATTATTTTTGAGGGTCATTTGTTATCTGCTTACCTAAATATTTTTCAATTTGCCTACAGTTTGGTTAAATGACTCATTCCCTGGACTGAACTACGTTTTTTTAAAAAATCCCATGAGTCCTAGTTCAGGGTGAAAATTTTGTGTACAAGACATTTCCAGAGAACTAGTATTCTCTCCATAAAAGAAGACCTACTGTGTTAGGATTTTTCCCCAAATGATGGGGCCAACAGATATTTCCTGGGATCCTTTATAAAAGCAGGGTTTGACACTCTGATTTATGCATTTTATTCCCTTGCTGTGTGGAAAATGAACTGTAGGGGGTGCTGTGAGTATTATAAATCAGATAAGAAAAGGGCAAAAGAGAGCCCAGTGCTTGGCATGGGTACTTCCTTCACATCTCTTAGTGATTTCTAAATGGAAATTCAACATCTCCTGATTAAAAAAAAAAAAAAGTCTCAATAGATTTAGCCTAAATATTTTTCCTAAAGTCTCAAATTTTTAAATATTTTTGTTCATCCATTTAGCCTACAATAGTCACTAAATGTTGCTTGGAGGCAAGAGGCCATGTTTTTAAAAAAATTTAAAACTAAGTGAGGGTGTTTGCCATTGAGGAACTCAATCTGGGGCTGATGGAACAGTGTTTGCTTATATAAAACCCAAAGCCATTTTCTCATTTGGGTAAAACTTGACAGAGCCATTAAAATGTGTGCATTCTAATTGCTTTCCCTGGGATTTTATCCTAAAGAGATAATTCAAGTTATCGGGGAGGAAACTTACCACACAAAAGACACTCAATCACAGCATTGTTTTTAATGGCAAAACATTAAAGCAACTTATGTGTCACGGAAAAAGGAAATGGTTAAGTAAATCATGATTCTTACATTTTTCTACTGAATAGAAATGTCAAATAGCTGTTGAAGTGCTAATTACAAAGAATGTACAGCAGGATAAAATGCCTTTATAATATTGCTAAATGAGAAAATCAAGATGCGTATTTGTATTTGCATCCCCATAAAAACATGGACATCTGAAAATAACTAGATATATGCTAAAACATTATGTAAGGGAAATGTGTGCATTTTAGCTAGTGTCCAAACATTGTCATTTGGTAAAAGTAATCAAATCTATTCAATATAAATTAAATGCATCTCTAAATGTAATCTTTAGATAGAATCAGCATCTGTAATAGATGGATAGTGTCATATGATTGCTGAATTTCTTTTTTTCTTTATTGGTTAAAGTATTACATATGAGTCTTTATTCCCTCCATTGTCCCTCACTCTCTCATCCCCACTCATGCCCTCACTCCCTGATTGCCAAATTTCTTGATCATAATACATAATCAAATGGATTTCTTCTATTTCTGTGGTGAACGTTGCTTTGCAAAGTACCCTCATAGTTGGTCATAACAGCAGCTGCCATTTTCTGAGAATCTTTGAATATCGTGGCAGACAGCTTCTACCGGTCACTTCCTGACACACCCAGGTAAATATGGGCTAGACTTAGTGACTTGCTTCTAACCAGTAAGAATACAACAAAAGTGATGGGATGACACTTCCAAGATTAGGTTATAAAAGACTGTGACTTCTATCTTGCAGTCTCTCTATATCTCTGACTCTTCTTGCCTTCTTGCTCTGATGACACAGCTGCCCTGTTGTGAGCTGCTCTATCTCCATAGATCCACATGGCAAGGCCAACAGCCAGTGAGAGAGCTTAGAAGCAGGTCCTTCCCCAATTCAGCCTTGAAATGAGACCAGAACTCTGGCTTACAGCTTTGGAAGAGATCCTGAGCCAAAGGACCCAGCTAAGCCATGCCCAGATTCCTCACAAACAAAAACTGTAAGATTGTAAATGTTGTTTTAAGCTAATAAATGTTGGGGTGTGTGTGTGTGGTAATTTGTTATGCAGCAATTGATAACTAATACATTCTTATCTTGCATAAGAATTCTTACCTTTCAAGATATAGTATATCATACCCATTTTGTAGATAAGTACCTCAGTGCCAAAGGGACAAGCAATTTGTCCTAAGATTCTATAGCTATCAACAATAGAATTATGGAGGCAGCTGATCGATGTTTCTCTCTCATCGATGTTTCTAACTATCTCTCTCCCTTCCTCACTATAAAAAAATCAATAAAATATATTAAAAAAAAACAAGACAAAACAAAAACAATAGAATTATGGTTCAAACTCAGGTTTGTCAGATTTTAAAACTGATGCTTTTCCTGATTCTGCCCAGACCATATCACATGGTTTGATTCTCAAAGTCAGAGGAAAGTGGTAGGTAACATCTTCCATAATGATTTCCCAGAATTCAGTGGTTTATTACCCCAGCAAGTCATTAAACACCTGGAAACTCCTTAGAGATTAAGAACAATTTTTAGGCTGCTTCTCCAATAAGACAGAGCCCAGGGAAGCAGAAAAGGCTGTTTTCTTGCCAGATAATGCTTATTGTGATACTAGAGGGGGGGAGGGGAAAGCCCCCCTCCAGGGCTAGCTGTAATCTGCTTATTCTTTTATACATTTCTTTCTGAAATGAACTGAGTCCTTAAAGTTCCTATGTGGGGGATGGAGAGAGGGTTAGGAATTTTTCCAAGAGAAGTCTGACTCCCAGCTAAGCTGCTTGAGTTTACATCATCTTAGCTGCTCTGGGAGACGTGAAAGAGTCCTTTTGATGGCAACTTAGAAAAGAAAGAAACTACCATTTTTTTTTTTTTATCAATTCTTATCCGGCACAGTATGATGCATTTTACAGTTGCTGCTTCATTTTATCTGTACACCAAGCCTTTGAGGTGAGTATTGGCATTACAAATTCACAGGTGAGAAACCCAGAGGTTTCTCTCCTGTCTATCCTGTATCCCAGAGTCCCTGGCCCCCTTGGTGGCCTGTTGAGTGCTGCCTGGGTGGCCTAGTGGAGTCTGCTTAGAATCAGGGTGTGGTTCCCGACACCCAGTCTGAGACTCCACTGCCAGCTGCATGGCTGGCTAGATCTGGTCTTAGTAGCAGGATTTTCCAGTACTGGGATTCTGGGCATACTCAGGCCATCTCCACTGGAGGTGGTTTCTCAATCTAGACAGTAGAAAGGAATTTGAGCCAAGTCATTCAAACACCTTATCAAGCTAAAATCCTGAGTACGGAGGCCATCTGAGCTTTTCTGACACTTCTTGTCCTGTGGCAGCCACTTTAATACCATCCTAAGTGGATGGTGGCAGGAGGCAGTGTGAGCATCACTAAGTGTTAGGCTCTGCTCTGACTCAGTAATGTCACTCCATCAAGTCACATCATAACTTTGTCCCTCAACTTTTTCATATGTTAAGTGATAATTGCTATTCTATCCATTCACTTATTCAGTCAGTCAATCACTCAGTCAAAGGTGCCAAAGCCCTATCCCAGGATCTATTTATAGAGTAATGGGTGAAACAATATGCTTTCTCTATCCTAAGGGAATCCCAGTTTCATTTATTAAATACACTAATCATAATAAAATTTCACACTTTAAAAAAATGTGTTCCTGATTTGTTTATTTTGCCCTCACATGGGTCCCAACCTATCAGAGTTGATCCTGTACCATTGGTTCATGCAACAGCAAAATCCATTGACATTCAAGATGGCATGTAAGCATGACCCACAGGGAAGATATAATTGGCTCAGACCATGTTTGCAGAAGAACAGTAATTATTATCATTCTTATTTCTGTCTGCAGTGTTACTAGAAGAGATGGGATTTCTGTAAGCCTGGTAAAATGATGGTGAGCAAACACCTACAAGATCCCCTGCCCTCATAAAGTTTATGATCTTACAGGAGAAACAGCTTTAATCAACCAAAGAATGACTCAAATAAATGTAAGATTGCCACTTGGCAATTCTACAATGGTGTTATGAGAATGTGGATAGGGATTTGACCTGGTTGGGAAGATTAAAGAGGGCTTCTCTAAAAAAGTGATAATTCAGCTGAGATTTAGAGGATGCACAGGATGTACCTAAGATAAGAAGGGAGAGAGGACCATTGCAAGCACAGGGAGAAGAATGTGAAAGGAGAGACTGAAGAGAGGCTAGTGGGTATGTGGACAAGGAGCAAAAAGGAAAGTGGGGCAAGATGCTGGGAACATTGGTTGAGGTCTTTGGTACTATATTCCGAAGTTTCCAAGGTTGCAGCTGCCACACCAGATCATATAACTCTAGAATATCTTCCAGTCACCTTCTGACTGAATTGTCAGCTCCTTCACACTTGGGTAAAGAGGGTCTCATTTAATGTTTCATAATATTCAATTTCCTTTCGAATGACATGTAAAAGCCATTTGGATACAAATGACACCACTTAATAAAGCATTGGGCTTGTGCTATGAATAATAATAAGCCTAGCCACCTAAAATAGAAATAAAATAAAGATGGATTATTCCATGGATCACTGTGCTGATTAGATGATAAACTAAAAGATTTGAAAACAAGAAATGAGTAATACTGCAATTAAGAAGCACATCTACCAAAGTCATCTATGATATTAACAGTGGCCATCTTTGGGATGATTTAAAATCCAAAGCGGGTGTTGAAAAGTAACATGTTCATTGCACATAGACTTGGAATTTAACTTCTGTGTTCTGTCAAGTCAATGCAGGAGTTGAAAGGGAGT